AACGTGAAATAATTATGAAATTATGGTTAAAAGGACAAACAATGATTGCAATTTTACAACGTTTTAGATATTTATTACAAGATCTTAATATAGATGATAAAGATTTTTCTGAAGGATTAAAAGTTTGTATAAATAATATTCACAATAATTTATTCAATATTTACAAAGAAAAAAAAAGATTTCTATTAATACATATTTAACTATTGTTTATTCAAAATACGATTAGATTTTTTTCTTCTACATAGAACATATTCATATTTTCTTAAACGAAAAAAAAAGGGTTATAACTAATATGTTTTTATGTATTCGAAATACATATATATATTTTTTTTTTGTTGTACTGTTATTCTGAAGTATGTGTATGGGAATGAGATTTAATTTCTACATATTGTTATTGCATTCTTTAAACACTTGTAAGATATCTTTCTCAGACGGCTATTCTATTTATATGTAATAAGTATCTTGTTGATATTTTTTTTCTTTTTGATCTAGAGATCGATTACATTTGAATTGTTTTTTCTGTTTTTATTTAGCAAATACGTGAAAAACTAAATTATGCTCATCGTGATGTATATTATCTTCAAGAAAAAAATCTTATACTTGAAAATCAAAATCATTTTCTTGAAAATGAATTTAAACGACAATTAGATAAAATAGTTGAAGAAAAAAATGAACATATTAATCAACTTATACATATTATTGATCAAACATATACACGATCAACTCAAATAAATAATCATATTAATGATGAATATTATTCATCAAGTAAATAAATAAATAAATTTGATTATATTCTAAAAGTTAAAATAATAGACATCAAATATTTTATTAGTAGAAAAAAAAATCTAATGATCATATTTTTTTTTTGCTTTCCTATGAAACCTTTTTACTATTCAACAAAATGGATTCTATATGTAATTGAGAATAAGAATAAGAATAAGTATATTTTATGTATACGTTATAATAATGAAAAATTCAAAGTCTTATCTAAATCTAAATTTTAACCAAGGTATGAATTGAAGTATACTTTTACATATCTCATTATACAAAATAAACTAACCTTGTGATTACTATTGATCAAGGTAATTTCGATTAATTGGAGAATTTTTCCTACAGTTAACAAACTTCAAATATAATCAAATTATAACAATAGAAACAAGGCTAATTTGATATCGAATTTTGTTTTTTTTTTTCGATTAGTAAATTCTTTATTAGAGCTCATCGGATTAATTTCGAACTCGAGATTTTTACTATTGTTTGATTCTGTCATTACATTTCAAAATATATTTTGTAAACTTTTTTTATAACTGTTAAAAACAAAATTTCTCTTTTTTCATTCTATTGTTTATAGTTTTGATTGGAATATCTAAAATATCTATATATTTGATTTCTTATAGTCATATATACTAGCAGTAAGATTAAATCTAAAAACCTATTGCAGATTTGAAGTAAATGTTATAATAAACGTTAAGATTAATCACAAAATAAAAATTCAATCTCTTTTTTCCAAAAATTATGCTTCTGTATAAGAACATACATCAATTAGTTAAATTCCCGTATTTAGAATTTTGTTTAAGAATAAAGCAATGAAATAAAATAGGTTAAATATGAGTCAAAACTGTACAACATTTATTAATGTCCATTTCAGAGTTAAATGGCCGTGGGCATTTTTTGAATAACTTTTGATAGGAACGAGATAGAAATCTCCAATTTTCACCGTTGGAAAGAATAGATGAAGTCGCATCGAACTATAAAGATTTTTTTTAACTATTTTCCTATAGGTTTAGTCAAAAGTTTTCAAAGAATTGCTTTTTCCTCCTATGTTAAAAAAATTGGCTTTTCTATCAAAATACGACAAAAATTTACATTTTTCGATTATTTTGTTGAAAAAAAATGAGGTGGTAAATTGTGTTCCGATGGTTTACATATCATACTGGTAGTAGTTAGGAACAGCGTCTTGATATAGTTTTGTAGCTCTTCCTTTGGTCATTCTAGAGCACTCTTGAAAATCAACAAGTTGATATCATGACCATGAGAAGCATGCTGTTTTTCTTGAAGTTTTATATAAAACCTATAGGAAAGTAGTTAGAAAAATCTTTCTATATATAATTCGATGCGTCTTCATCTGCTCTTTCCAACGGTGAAAACCGGAGATCTCTAATTCGTTCCTATCAAAAGTTATTCAAAAAATGTTCACGTCCATTTAACTCTGAAATGGACATTAGTTACATGTAATAATAATAATGTCGTAGTTGATGGTTTCTTCTATTGTATACTTTTTATTGTTGTTTATCGAATAACAAAGAAGATATATCTTTCGTAAAAACTATCGTATATCGAACTTCTCAACTATTATTATAATTAGTTGTACGGATTCGTCTGTAGTTAAACAATAAGATCGAATGAGACAGTTATTACTTAAGTTCATTTACTAACGAAAGAAATCCTTCAATGAATTAAACACTAAATATATCCCAACTATAGTTTTGATAATGGACATGAGAAGAAAAAAAAAATTCTCGGTTAGAATTAAAGATCATTATTAAACGGAGAATGTTATATTCTTACGGTAGGCTTGTAATTCAATATCGTAATTCCCTTTTTCGTGTTAAGTTACTTCTAATTTTAGCAATTCTTTTTTTTTTAAATGTAAATTTATCATTCCTAGAAAAAAATTGATATTTCACATCAAGATTATAGTAAAAAATTCTCTATAGAAGATCTCTGCTTCATTCTTATTATCTTCTAATGATACTAAAATACTGATAAATATATGTTGACTTGTATACTTTTGAGATAAAACATTCACTTTTATTCTCAGATATATTCTAACAAATATAATAATATTAATTTATCATTTCTTAAATATGAGAAAGACTAATTTTTTTTTTTTTGTATTTTGAAACTTTTCATAGAGAATAGAAATAATTAATTAATTCAATTCTAGATTTTATTAGAAGCTGAAGAATTATCAAAAAAATTTATGGGACAAAATATTGAATTACAACATGAAATTGAAACATTTCGTTCTAAACTTGATTATATTGTAATAAATATTAATCAAAAATTGGATCAACAAAAAACAACAACAACAACATTATCATCTTTATCTATACATCAATTAGTATTTGAAACTATGCAACAAACAGAAATGAAATTACTTGAATTTAAATTAAAATTTATTTCACAACAAGAAGAAAATGATCTTTTAAAATATTTAGTATGTATTATTAAAATTTAAAAACCAAAAAAAAGTAAAATTTAATTTAAATAATATTAGATGGAAAAATCACAAAATATATCAGATATTGAACAAACAAAATTATTTTCTATTATTCAACAACGTTCACTTGAATGTGAAATTGATCTTGTTCGTCAAGAACTTGAAATTACAGAGAAAACAACTATTCAATTTGAACAAACAGTATAATTGCATTCTTTTTTTTTTGGATTGATATTTAAAATATTCATAATTTTTTAGTTTGATAATTCAAATGAAAGAATTAAATTTCATATGGAAAATCTTAAATTAAAATGTGATGTATTACATAAACATATTCTAACATGTAGTCAACGATTAGATGATATTAATAAACAAAATCTTATGAAATTAACAAATGAAAATCAAATATTAAAGTATAGATACAAACAAAAAATATTCGAATTTTATTTTTCCTATGATTTTATTTTTCGTATAGAATTAGAACTCAACATGAAGAATCAAATATTGATGTATGATGAATAAATTTCTTTATATAAATATATTTTATATTAGAATAAAAATATGGAACTTGAATTTGAATTATTACGTTTACGTGAACGTTATTATGAATTAATTGAACATACAAATACACTTAAATATGAATTAAATAATGCACAAAAACAATTACATGAAAAAGAAAAAGTAAATATTAACTTATGAATATTATTAATTTTCTTAATACTTAAATATCTTATTATATTTGTATAGAAACTAAGTAAAAATATATCCTAAAATAGATCGAATAAAACAATCAATCGATAATTAACAACTAGGTATCGGTGGGATCATCTTTTCTTTTTTTTGGTCCTGGTTTCAATTTAAAACTTTTTATTGTTTCTAGAAAAAAAAACGACTTTTCTTATAATCTGTATGATTTTTTGAATATATATAAAATGAATATTGATGATTTTGAGAAATTAACAATCCTAGGTCGAAGATTCCGGTCACCGGATCCTGTAGGAAAGATGCGGGAAAATTCACCGTATCCTGCACGAAAACACTGAAAGTCGCCGGAACAGGGTGGCAGTATTCCGGCCGGAAAAGTTTCGGATTTTTTCCGGACAACTTCCTGAAGAAAACGGGAGGAATTTGATCGGAAGTCACCGAAAAAATCCGAAAAGTGTCCAGTCGGAATACTGCCACCCTGTTCCAATAACTTCCAATGTTTTTCTGCCGGAACTCACTCGTACTTCTCGACCTGGGCATAAATAAATAAAAAAGGCCTATTTGTAGATCATTAGTCAGAACAGAATAATAAATATGGAAATAGGTAGTCTAGTTCTGGAACAGAAAACATTACGGGACCAGTTTGCAGATCTCTATTAGCAACACTAATTATATCATGTAGTCGCACAAAGATTACATTTACAGATTTCTTTTATCAAATTTAAAGTAAAAAAAAAAGTCAAGGTAATCATTTTGATCGGAAATGTTATTGCTAAAAAGTTCTTATCATAAGTGGTTCACATATTGTAATAAAAGAAAAAAAAAACTCCTGAAAGTGCCGATGGCGCAAGACGCCATCATATTGAATGCTGCCGACATGCGTGAAATCACTCTCACAATTCATTACAATGAATACCGACTTAATATTATTTAATAAACAAAAAATGAAAACATTCCTAAAGCAAAACGTCTCAAATTTGAGTACCATTAGGACTCTTCAAAAGTGCTCAGTTTCTATTTTCGTCTTTCTAACAATTAATTAATTGCACGTTCTTTTTTTTTCTAATCAAAGGTAAATCAGTTCGTGTTGACATGATTTAATGTCATAAGCTATTAATATAAAAAATATCGACAAGATGTTATATCAAATACTGTTGTTGTTATGTAAAATTGTTTTTTCTTTATCTAATTAGTCAATATTGTTTATCATAGGATCATTTATGTTACTCACATTATGGAAATTGTATGTTATTATTCATGTCGCAATGAGAAAATTTTATCGTATATATATATAGCCATGATTTATTTTCTGTCAAGAACAAATTATTTTGTTTTTTTGTTTAAAATTTTATATGTTTTAATTAATATATTTATTAATAAATATAGATTGAACCAAATTTAAATGTTGACTTGGAAAAAGAACGACGACGTGCAGATGAATTTGAAAATGATTATAAATCTTTAAAAATAAAATATGATGATGTATGTGAACGTATTCGTATAGCTACAAATCAATTAGAACATGTACAAATTGTACTTGAAGAAACATCACGTCGTTGTGAACAATTAGAAAAAGAAAAGGTAAAGAAAAAAAATACAAAAAATAATAATAATAATTTCATTCTCTTACATATCGCGTACATATTATTCTATGATTCGACTAGTTCAGCTACGGAAAAAATTGGTATTAATACATATGATTTATTATTGCTTCTCCTTTTTTTTCTCTTCGTGTTTTTCTATTCACTATTAAATTTCTTAGATAAAATATTTCCATAAGCACATTTTTCTGCACTTATTTTTTTTTTTCTTTTATCTTATATATAATACTCCTCTAGACTGAGACGATGAATCCAACATAATTATTTATATATAGATTAAAATAATTTTTTATTGTCATTTGCTTTTTGTTCTGGTCCGAAATTAATGCTCAATCTGAATATCTTTCACAAAATGTTCTTAATGTAACATCAAAATATAAAGATAAATTAAATATAATTAAAGTTCGTTTATAAGTCTTTATTTAGAATCCCAAAAGAAAAAAGAACAAGATTAAAGAAATTTTGATTATTATTATTATAGAGAACAAGCAGAACGTGAAAGACGTGAAGTACAACTTCGTAATGAAAAATTTCAAATGATAGACAACCGTTCGATGTAAAAAAGTTTGATATGGTTTCATCATGTCAATTTAACTACTTTTTGAATTGTTAAACAAAATGACTGCTGGTTCAATATCTGCT